TAGTTTGACTTTAAACTTCAAGAGGGACTGGCATGAAAAAGCTTGAAGCCTCACTTTGGGAAGATTTGCTCACTCTCTGCCAAACTTCAGTTCGTTCTGAAGTGAGTCACTCACCGTGCCCGTCAATGAAGAAGCCTTCAACTTTCAGCTCTGCCCAAAGGAATGAATGTCATTCTATGCCTCAAGGATTTTAATTAAAATGTCCTGAAAAACAAGAATGAAATGATCGTGTCAGTCAGACACGCAGCAGTTTGTCTTCCAATGCCGTGAAGGCTCACCTTTGACCCATAGGCACGTGTGGGCGTCGAGGTAGCTGACAGCTGCTGCTTTTTGCGGTTCTCAGGTCAAATCTTTTGGGTTTTTTTTCCTTTCCAAGATGGCGCCCGAGTAGGCAGTGCTCTTCAAGAGCCTTGCTTTGTTTGTTGTTGTTTTTGTCTTTTTGTTTTGTCACATGGTGTTTGTTGTTACATCGTGTGGAACTGATGTGGATTTGTATACTTGGCAAAAAGGGGAGGAAAAGCGGATTAAAGCGACGATTGGGGTAGCCGCGGTGACGCTAAATCACAGGTGTCAACCTCAAGGTCCGGGGGCCCGATCCGGGCCGCCACATCATTTTCCGTGGCCCGAGAAAGCAAAATGGGTGAATCGACTTCATGTTTCTTGCTAACATACAAAATTGCAAATGGTCTTCACTTTTAAAGATCCTGAGATATTTTCAAGCATTTTTTTTTTTGTTCCCAATCCCCCTTTAAAATAAATGGAATATTTGCCCGGCGGCCCGGTGGTCCAGTGGGTAGCTCACAGTGCAGAGGTGCAGGATTCGATTCCGGCTCCGGCCTCCCTGTGTCGAGTTTGCATGTTCTCCCCGTGCCTGCGTGGGTTTTCTCGGGGTACTCCGGTTTCCTCCCACATTCTTTGGCTGTGTGCGTTTTGTTCGCTCTAGCCTCGTTGCAAATCATTCATTGATCCGACCTTGGTGACCGACAAGTGAGTTCCACTCGCGCTTAGCTGAGTTGGGAGTAAGTCAAGTCAAGTCCCATTTATTTCTACAGCTCTTCATCACAAACAGTCTCAAAGGGCTTCACATGCCCGCGCTTGACAAGTATTCATGACATCCCCTGACCTTCACCCCCGGGAGGGCGAGGAAAATTCAGAAAACCCCATCTGGGGAAAAATGATAAACCTTGAGAAGGGGCCGCAGATGGGGGAACCCCCCTTCCAGGATGAGCAGGCTGTCGATGAAGAAATCTTCATAGCGGCGCCTCCGGGTGGTCGACCCAGCTCTTGCGCAGCAAATCATGTCCATGACGATCGGAGCAGAATCTGTACGACGATGTCCGATTGGGTCGTCATCACCCCGCCCTCACGTGACTCGGGTCCGCCGGCAGTGAGCGACATCTTCCACTCTGGGAATCGCCGGCCAAATTTAGTTGCTCCTTTATTTTGTCTCCCCCGCGGGCGACTCTGCGCACGCCGACGCCAGGGTCCGACTTCGCACGTTCAAAGCGTGCACAGAAGCGCCAAATGTTTGGTGTGAAGTGGAAGATGAACGTGCGCCGTTCAGTCCTTGGCTTCGTTTATGTCTCGGCCGGGACGCAACGAGGACAGATTGACTGTCGCGTGCCGCCTGTGAGGGCATTTCTTCAAGTGCAAAGAGCTGTCGTGAGGCCAATCCGTCACTGGAACGAGCGTCACTTTCTCGATGAGAAATAGCAGGAGCGCTATCATGTGCTTTGCGGAATCCCGCCATTCAGCTGACTGAGCAATACCCTGAGAAGCAAAGGATTTGACGACTGGATCCGGCTCGTCGGCGAGGTCGATGCCCTCACATATGGGCAAGGAGCGCCACAGTCCGTAATGCACTTTGGATTTGCTCACAGAACGATTTCAGATTGGCTAGCGGTGTGCAGGTTTCTCAAACGTCAGGCCTGATTCCTACCGACAAGACTCGACTTGTCATTTTGGCCATCGTCTGCTCGCTCTCGCATGGGCGACCTTGACGTCGCGAGGACATTACGCTCTCAATCAGCGCCGATGCATCCGTATCTCTCACTCTTTCTAAAGTGAAAGAGAAGAAGAAGAGGGGCAAAAAAAAAAGCACTTTGGCCCTCGGCGTCTCATGCGCTCGCGCAAACACGCGCGCAACAACTTTTTTTTCCTTTCCGTTTTTCACACGGTTTTGATTTCAGCTGCTCGCTCTTTGTATCCTCAGGCTTGATTCTCATCGTCGTAGCGCTCCCGAAGAGACATTCCCGAATGGAATAATGACACATGAACGGAAGGCTGGTGGCAATGGCACTGGTGCACACATTATTTTTGCATTTCAAGCACTTTCAAAGGAAATCCCCCCCCCCCCCCGGATTTCAATCAAGTCAACTGAGCAACGCGTTTTAGATTTCGAATTGATTTTTGGGATTCCAGCTCATGTTAGACAGAACTCACACTTGGTTGTTGTCATCGCAAAACACCAAACAGCCAAGGGGACAGGCAAACGTGTCAAGGCATAACTCATGTTCAGGTCAAAAAAACGAACGGATTCCTGGAAGAACGATAAGGCACAGAAGGGGAGCGGAAGAAGACATCAGGCAGGCAACGTCGGCAACGGAAGATCAATTGGCGGGAAAGCGCTGGAGCGCACTGCAATGCAATCTGGCAATGGGTGACTGCAGACTCTTCAATAGGTGAGCATGACTGACTGGCTGTGACAGTCGGAAGGCGCGAGAGGGTCAGTGGCCGTCTGTCACTTGTCCGTGATTGTCCACGTGGCCTAAAAAAAACAAAAAAAACTAAACAGCGAGGTGTCGTCATTCCCATCAGAATTATTATTATTTAAAAAAAAAATTGTCACAGGATGCCTCTAATTGCCTCTGGCGGCTCATGTTGAGGTATTGATGGGGCAATATTATGAAGTTGGATGAGTATCTAGCGTTCCCATTTTTTGTGTCGAGTCTTTTGCGTTGGCCAAAATAATCACCCAATGTTAATTGTGATGCACGCCGCCACATTAGGAGCGGATGTGACGTCAAGTCATTGGACTGGGCCTTCCATCGCACCCACCACTTGCTATGGAGTGACACGCCAGATTGCAAGTCTGTCTTTTCTGATTCTTTCTTGGTGACCCGAAGAAGCCGCTGTAGGAAAATAAATTCGTTCATTAAAAAAGTCCACTGCCAGGCCGTCCGCGCGCAAGCGCGTCAGCTCCGCCCTCTTCCTCAACCTTGCAATCCTTGCATCCATCATTGCAAATTTCCCCAGTGTGGGACAAATAAAGGTTATCTTATCTTATCCAACAGTGAGATGTCCACGATTATTTGTTTGTTTGTTTATTTAATGAGAAAAGGGTGCAACTTGACCCGGATCACAGACGAAGCTTCCGCATTTGCATGCGGCCGCTCATTATTTATGATGCACTGCAGCGCCGGCCTTGTCTGACACAGCCGGACCTTGCGTCAGTATTGACTCTGGAAAATTGCAAGAATGACTCCCGTTTCATCAGAATCTGACCAAGAAAGTACCGCGTCGAATTCGGGAGACGGCCGGGCCTCGACGGCTTTCGGCGGCGCGACGTGACGGCTCCCTCCGCCTCTTGCCGGCAAGTATGGCCGCGCGCATTCGCTGTCATGGAGTCTCGCCGAATCGGTTCCGCGAGCTCTTAAAAGCGTACTCGAATACATCAATGGAACCAAAGCCACACTGGATGCAGTTTTTCTTGACGAACCAAAGAGATTTTTCCCACTGACCACCACGGGTACACTTCAAGCAATCGCATTCGAGGTGGTGGCAACAACCGTCAACGACTCACCGAATCCCCCCCCCCCCCCCTCTTTATATCCCTCATGCAGTCAACAGTTTTTCTCTCTTCCACATATTTTACTCGATTATGATATATTACACACTGTACTGATTTTGTTGAGGCTTCCTAATGGCTAAAATTGCCTTGCAGTGGGTGACTAAAAGCCATTCTTGTGCTCGGAGGGGGAATAGAGCACTTTTGGGAATCGAATAGGTCGGCGGCACGGCGCAGGCCCGGCGTGGCGTACGCAAGCCTCGTTTTTAGTAGTCGCTGACATCTCGCCGTGCGGAGTTTTAAAACCTGTCCTCCACCGATACGAGCATTGTTGTGGACACGGCGGGATCCTTTCACCGTCCTCTGCTTCCCCCAGGTCCTCCGCGTGTTCGTTTGATTCGGGCTGAGATGAGGTGCGAAATCAGAGGCTGGAAATGGAGAAGTTCTTGCAAGAGGTTTTACTGAACTTTCAGGGCACAAGTGTGATACAAGCAAGCGTTGTGGTGAAGGCGCAAATGCGCGAAAGCAGCGTTCCTATACAAGTCTTATACATCCTAAGCGGGGCGTAACTCCTTACGGATATCATCTTTTCTGTTATGGGCATCACCCTTTCTGTTTCTGGATGACTGTTGTAATATTTTCAGTTTCTTTTTCATTCCTTTTAATCATTTTTGTGTTCTGATGTTTTGTCTTCATAAAACATGATGATATACGCTTTAACTGTTCCAACATCTCTTAGAAATCATCTTATCGTTTTGGATGGAACACAGCTGTAGGCAGGAAACCGCAATCTAGCCAGAAGACGCATTTACAGAGTTGTCTGGTCTGTGCTCACGAAAGGTGTTAACACTATTTTCCGTTGCTAAGGCAGTTCAAGTCAAGGTCACCTCATAAGGTTCAATTGGCGGTCATATTGCAAGGTTCAGAGTTAAGGTCGATAGTCAAAGTCTGTCTGTCTGTGATAAATAGTTTAAGCTAAACATGCAAAATAGATAATCGATGGCTGCAATACTCATCCGTGGCATTCTTCGTTTGTTGCTGGCGGACTGGGACATTGGCCAACATTCCGCCGCCAGCGCGACTGTCTTGGCCGTTTGAGGAGTACGATGAACAAAGAGCTTGGTGGCCTTTTTAACAATGGTCTCGAATGATTGAGATGCATTTGACGTTTTGAACTTGTACGTTCTTAAGACAGTATTTGTTCACCTTGCAGGTCCACCGACTATGGCACCACCTACACCAAACTCAACCTGATGCCGGGGACCACCGTTGTGGTGAGCAGTTTCTACATCTGCCCGACCAACAAGAAGAAGGTAGGAGACGCCTCCGGTACCCAAAACCTGTGCGAGCCCTTGAGTTACAGAACCAAATCAACAGTTGATTTATTTTCTCCTTATTTTAGTCCAAATTCCGAACGATTGTTGATGGGATTGTAGATGTTGGACCGATGCGTTCAACCTCCCGTCCAAGGGCAATTAAAGCGCTTGGGCGGCCGGGCCACGGGCGGCACTCTGGCGTTGACGGCTAATCGATGAAAGGCTGTCATGTGCGCGCGTCACACAAGATGGCATTCAGAGGGGGAAGAGGACAACGTCAAGGGCGCCCAACAACACTCACACTCTTCAAAATTATGTCACGCGTACGATGTGGTCCACCCGCCCATTCCTGAATGCGGCCGCCTCGGGTCAATGCTGGGATGATAACTCAATGCAAAGATTATGGCTTATCATCTGTGCCCTCGCGCTGACCCCCAAATGGTATTATTGTTGTCCTCGTCTGACACGCCAGAGGCCCGCCGGGGCCACAAATAGATCGGCTTGACTCGCATCCATCGTACGGATCAATAGACAACTTGTGATGGCGCACCCCGGAGGCCAGACTTAACTCACGTGTAATTGCCACCCTCTGCATTGACGAAAAAGAAGTGCTCTTTGATCATCTTGTCGCATTGTGGGCTTGATGGATGTCCAAGAGGGCGGTCGTGGCAATGGTGGGTAATTCTTCCGGTCTTCCACAGCTTCACGTCGTAGAGGGTGTTTACGGTATACGGGCAGGTCTGAATTTAAAGTCTGGACCGCATCCAGATCTAAACGCGGGCTGATTGTAAGCTGCGTGTTTTACCAACATGTCAGATTCCTCTCTCGACCCGACCGGAGATAAAAGTGACAGTGGTTGCTATCTTATTGACATATTTAGATCCGCCCGTCGGCTCGACGTGATGAATATCTCAACTTCGCCGAGCGCATTTGTCAAGG